AAGTGCTCTGGGAATTGTGACACAGCAGCGTAAATCTCATCTGTGTGTTTGTATTTGCTTTAGCCTGTTGTTACCACACCTGATGGAAGAGATTGCCCTGCAGGTTCTGGGTCTTTCATGCCATGTTGAGGTGGTTTGGATGAACCTCCAGGTCTCGTCTCTTGGGGCTGGAGTATCCTCTGTACCCTTCTTTGGTTCCTCCTGTTGACCAGTGGCTGCAGCAAATCCAGGTTGAATGAGACTGTGCCTCAGCTCTCCTCCTTCGAAGGGATCTTAAAACCCTACCAGTTCTTAGATTTTAATTCGAGATCAGCAGGCAGAATGGGATAACCTGCTTGTGAAGTCCTGTTTGGACACTCTGCTCTTTTAAATGGCTTTAAACCAAATAAATGTGATGGAACTGATACCACTGAAAATGAGTCACTGCCCTTCCCCAAAGCTGAGAGCTGCTTGGCTGGGGATGGGCATCCTTGGCAGATTCCCATGGCTGGCTCATCTTTGTGGTTATTGAATCAGAAGTTTATGTCTTTATAAAATCTGTTTTGTGAAACCATGCTCATAGGTGAGATGAGGTTCATATTAAAACCATGTAGCGTGGTCCTGTTAAATTCTAACCAGGGTCTGTCCGAATTGGGTGGCTCTGAGGTCTTCAAGCATATGCAGCAACCACTGCTTAGATGCTGGGAGAAGGAGATCGATGCTGGGACCTACAGACCCGTGTGCTGTCCCTGAGAAGGCAGCTGCGCTGTGTGATTCTGCTCCTCTTTCCTTCAACAGGTTCGCTGTTGCTTGAAAGTCTGAAAGACCACATTTCAACGACTGCCCAAGATCACTGCAAAGCCATCTACCTGCACGTCCTCACCACTAACAACACAGCAATAAACTTCTATGAAAACAGAGACTTTAAACAGCACCACTATCTTCCCTATTATTATTCCATCAGAGGGGTCCTCAAAGATGGCTTTACCTATGTTCTGTACATCAACGGCGGACATCCACCCTGGACAATCTTATATCCTTTACCTTCAGTCTGAGGAGCCCTGGAGCACGCTAAGCAGACACCAAACCGTGTTTTGAGTTAAAACCATCAGTCCAGCAAAGTGTCACCTGGCTGGGTCTGGGGTCCAGTGCCTGCTGAGGTGCGAGTTTAATCTGAAGCCAGAAGGAAGGTGTAATGTCGGAGGGATTGACAGTGGCCTGCTTGTGCCCAAGCTCCCGTGACTCCTCTGGGAACAGTTCAGGGAGGCAGTGCAGGATGATACATTGAATTCTAAGTTGGAGCTTTGATGCCAGTGATAGGGAAGGCTGGTGTTAAGCCAGAGTGCTAGGCATGCTCTGGCTTGTGTGCTGCAGGGTTTGTCCAGCAGCGTGGCAGATAAGCCCTTGGTCCTGTTTCCTGTGGCATAGGATCCCCTGCGACCCTGGCCTGGCCTGGATCTCAGCAGGCTGCTCTCAAACTGACTTTGGGAGTTTATTTCAGGTTGTTGGATCATGGAGAAGAAACCTGATCTTTCCCGGGTGTAACTAGTCAGTCCAAACCTCTCTGGGCAGGTGGATGGATTTCTGTCCCCACAGGAACTGGCTGTGGAGCGCAAAGGAAACTAACAGCTGCTTAGAGGAGGTATTTCCCACACAAGTTGGAGCCAGTGTTTCCAAATTGCCTTCTTTTACAGTGCAAAGCCAACCTGCTTTTGATAGAAGGGAGCAGGCAATTAATAGAAGGAGCAGATCCGTCTGTCTGACGGAGCAGAGCAGCTTTCGGAGTGCCAGGGGTCTGTTTAGGGAGCGCGAGACCACAGAGTGCATTGTTATTTGTGAAGTTACAGTGTAAGCGTCACTGTCCTTAACTGATGGCCACTGACTACCTACAGCACATTGGATCAACGCTAGCCAGCCTGAGCCCGTGTTCAATTCCCCAGAGGATATACCGACAAGCCCAGAGCCTTCTCTGCAGCCTTCTCCCCTGGTCTGGCATTTCTGCCAAGAGCGGCATTGAATACAGCCGGACGATGTGACCGGATCGGGAGATAGTGGGTACCGAGGGAAGGCTCCCTTCTCTGCCCGAGGCCGGTGGTGGCACAGTGATGCCCCACAGCCGCTGTCCTGGGGCAGCTGAGAACACCCTCGAGCGAGGGCTGCCGAAGCTGTAGCTCTGCTGCTGGGCGAGCCATGCCATGCATGGCTGTGCTCCGGTCTCCAGCCGGTGGCCAAACTCCTGTTGTCTTCGTTTGCAGGGAATTTGAACTCTGATCTTGTCTACTTGAGCCCAGAGCCTGACTGATGGCAGGTTGAACCTGTCCCTGCTGTCTCCCTCCTTTTCCCAGCTGTTAGACCAGCTTGCAAGACCCAGAGTGACCAAGTCCCTGCTCAGGGTCCCAGCACAGAAACTGGTAGCCCGTTTGCTGCCAGCTGCGCTGCAGGTCTCTGCCAACAAGGTTGTCAGGACAGCGGCTCCCCAGTATACTTGGAAGAGACCTGTAACACCTGGTTTCCCGAAGACAGCTGCCCTCTTTTTTTCTTTCCATAGGATTGTTCTTCCTTTCATCTCCTGAACCATCCGGCTCCGCACTGATTCCAGTGATGACAGCGCTTGGTCAGTGACCCAGCCCCCAGATGGGACTCCTTGTTCCACAGGTTGATCGAGATCTGGCAGATCTTCACCCTTTGACAGGCTGCAGCCCTGACTGACCCCCCAGCCCGGCGCCTGTGGGCACTGCCCAGGCAGGCCTGGTGTCCTGCAAGGCGTCTTGCTGTGCCGTAGCTGAGGGCCCTTCGTGTCACCGGGCTGTGTGCATGGTGCACGGTCCCACCACTTCCCTTGCCTCTGGTTTGCTCCTGCTCCTACGCGTGACGTAGAGGGGTTCGGCTGCTGCTCCCACACCGTGGCGTGAGTCTGCGCTGACCGACCGCGCCGGTGAGCTGTGAGCACCCTAGCAGGCCACTGCTGGCGGAATATACAGTCGTGCCCTTGCTGCAGGGGAAGGTGGGCGCTGGGCGAAGGGAAGTGGGGAGCAAAGATGGTGTCTGGGTCCTGCCAAGTCGGCTGCTGCCAGTGGTGCTTCCTGCGGGTAACTTCCAGGGAGGGGAACTGCCTCGCGTGAGAAACTACCCAGCCCCCTGGTGTGACTTAAAAAGCAGCATCTAATTCAGGATGCACCAAGTAGAAGGCAAGGAGCGAAACTGCTATTTCATAGTGAAATATATATATTATACTGTATGGATCTTCCCGCTGTTGTCCGAGTTGGAACGTAGCAGGGGAGGGGAGCGGTGGGTGTAGAGGCACTGCTGCAGCCAGAGCCCTGCGGAGTCCGGTCCAGAGCCACTGCATGCGCCCTGCCTTGGCACCGGTGCCGGACTCTTGCAGGATCTTTAGGGATGAGATCTGTGCATGGATCACAGCAGCTTTTCCTTGCTGAAGAAAAGTTTCCCTCAGCTGCTCACCAGCTTCAGGCCGTGGTCCGGGCATCGCCACAGGGCTGTGCTGGTGGATGGTGTCCCTGTGCCTGTCCAGGAGACGCCTGGCCTGGCTGTGGGACTGCC